AGCGCGGACGGGTCTTTTAAGTTTTGCGCATGCCCCAAGTCGGGTTCTCCTCTGCACCTCTCACACCTCGTTCCTCCAGGATTCCGACGATGCACTTCTCCCGCCACCGCGCTCCGAGCCCTGAACGCGACGCTCGCGGCGCTCACGACTCACGGGCTAGGACCGTCACATCCACGGTGCTCTATAGTATCGCCATTCTCACCTTCCTTCTTGGGCCTCCAATGCGTTCAGGAGGGCGATCCGGGAACTCCCACACCCACTCCGCCATAGACCAGACCTGGTCTGTCTTCTAGACAGTAAGACAGGCTGGTTCGAGCCTAACTCCGCCATCTCGCGGATCTCCAGTCTCATCTACGTCTCTGCATGCACGGACGACTTCCACCAGTGGATGGGCATGCCCTGTCGAGCTCATTATGCAGCCTGAGCTCGCTTCTTCACCTGTCGTGAGTCGCTGTTGTCGTTCACATAACCCTCTCATTTGACCTCTCATTAGCTTGACGATGTTCATAAGCAGCGACAATCCAACTCGGAGCTCACAAGTTGTTACAAACTGGAAGGTGTCTTCTTCTTCTTAGACTCATCGGCCCCACTCACTCATCCTGGCTCCGAGTCGATGCTGTTCTGAGTACTCTATAATCCGCGCCATTCCCAACATCACACGAATCCCCGCTTTGTATGCCTACTACCATCCAGCCAGCTTATAGGCGCTTTCAAGAACCGTACGCTGTCTCATGCGGCTATAACCGACTTTGTCTTTTTGGGACATTATAATACGCGGTGCTCTGAATCCCCTCCTCGCGCAATTTGACCCATGCTGGGCGCGACGTGATAGCTTTCCACCATCTCGCAACGTTTGGGCGACGGCCGCTCGTCATGATGATGTCAAAACCAGCCAGCGTGGCCAGGTGGAACAGGTCTACGAGCGTTATTTCCTAGCGAGCGTTAAGTTGCCTTAGCCAAAGAGTTGGCGCATACTTACGCTACCCACGAGGTACTTCTGCTTTGATAGAATTTGCTCGTATACATCCAGCATCCGTCCGAGCGGAACGAGCACATCATCCCCTATCACCGGCAGACCAGGCTCAAAACCTCTGCGCCTGCGCCTTTTCAGTCCCAGCGTCGATTCGGCCTGGTGAAAAGCAGCACTCACATTCTCTTCCCATTCTCCCACCGGAGAATGTGCGCAAATATGCTGAGATAGTTGGTTGATTCGACGGACGCGGCTTGTTCGAACAGAGCGCGCTCTTGGAAGCTCGCGGTCGGTCCCGGGAGTAGTTTGGGTCCGTTTTCAGGATATTTCTCGACCAGATATCGACAAATTGCGCGCGTCTCATAGAGCACGAAGCCGTCGTCGTCCTGCATGATACATTAGCGGTTGTCCTTTCAAAATGACTTGTAACGCCTCACAATGACCGGAATCTGTCCAAACGGATTTCTTGCGCGATGCTCCGGGCTGTTCTGCCCCCTCTTGGGTATCACAGTGATGTCGACGGGGATATTCTGGAATGGGATTTGCTTCTCGGCGAGCACCAGCGCGACGACACCGCATCCGCCCCTCGTTCCGAGTGCAGGCGCAGAGTAAAGCTTCAAGACCATGGGTCAAAGGCAGCGGGGATTGACGCGTTGCCTGGGTTTTGCGTTTAAGTACTAGGCTGAAAAGGCCCCTATGTACTTACACAATTGAGGGCATTTGACAGCGGGATTGAACATTATATTGAACCACTGTTCGCCTCCGCCTCGGCGCAACTCACTGCATTTAGGCCATTTCTAGCCGAAGGTGCGGTTAGGTTCAGAGAGGCTTTATCGAGGTTATTCTAGCCTGGCCTGGCTTCATCTAGAGGTCTGTCGAGCATTGGCTAGTACCTACAAACAGCTCGCTGAACCTCGATGAGGCATGGTCTTCGTTTAGCTAGGGTTTGGCGGGGTTTGGCTAGAAAATGACATTGGCTAGAAAATGACCTGAATGCAGTGACTACCGTGATAATCGGGTCGCAGGTTCAATCCGGATTTCGGACAGATGTGGCTGCACTTCATAACTCCATGCCCTGCTCCAACTAAAAACCTCCGTGTAACGCTCCCCTCGTCGACTGATAGTAAAGCTCCAACCATTTCCGTTTGTGAGGTTTCAAACGAGCAAAAATAAAGCCCGTATTTACTTTCAACTACTTTGCAGGGGGGTCGCAGAAGGGTAAATGCAACGTAAACATGGCTCAACGATACTAAGATTACGATTAAAACTAATCTAAACAGCCATCTGTTGTGTTAGACAGTTGCATCAAGCAGCACAGCAATCGGTCCAAACTTTGCCAGCAACCACCATCACCTTTCGAGGTCATGGTCTAGCAGTCCAACCAATGCGAAACTCATTCACCGGATACAATTATCAGCCTTTGAACGCCGTCGAAGATGAGGTGATCTGCGGGCTCAAACGTTTATTCGTGCGTTAACCTCGTTTTTAGGGGGCAGAACGATACGAGTTGCAGCACAACGGGCCGTCCATCAACCTACACGAGCCTGACGGGATTCACGATGGTCTGGTTTGCCCAACGGAAGAAGAACGCGCGACGCTGCGCAGAGTAGCCGACTCCATTCCCTGGAGCGCGTATTGTAAAGCACTGGAATTGGCTTTGCGGCGGAAAGCTCACAAACGCATAGTGATTGCGATAGTCGAGCTCGCGGAGCGCTTTTCGGTGTGTTCTTACCGTTCTGCGAACTGCAAGTCATATACTCACCGCTTCACCAGTTCTATGGAGCGGGAGTTGTTTTCGTGGGCCCTTCCCCTCCTCTATCTTTTGCCGCGTACTTGACATCTCCGAACAGACCAACTTCATCCAATACCCACTTCCTATCGGCTCGCACACCGGCGCCGGTTTGCGTAATGGTCAATCTGGCGCGCTGGGCAAAGGTGTGAAGGGACTTCCCTTGGACTATCTGAGTGACAAAACCGCGCAGGTCAACGTTTTGCAACAGGGCTTACTACGATGTACCAGTTCTGGTCCGGTAGATTATCCACAAAGCCCTACAATAACTGACCCTGCGACCAGGTGCTACATCACACCTTTCCTCGGCGCATACATCGCAGACGTCCATCTAGGACGCTTCACGACTGTTTGCATCGCAGTTGGCATTGCGTTGATCGGGCATGCGATCCTCATCGTCGCTGCGCTGCCCGGTGTCATCGAGCACGGCGATACCGCTCTGGTGTTCTTCGTGGTTGCCTTGGTCGTCATGGGTCTCGGTTGGTGTTTAGCTGTCGTCCTGTACTCAAGTCTGACGATCGCAGGGACGGGTTTATTCAAGGCTAACATTTCGCCGCTCGTGGCCGAGCAGTACCGACGTACAAAACTGTTTGTTATGGTTACGGACCGAGGGGAGAAGGTCCTCGTCGACCCCACATTAACTGTCTCCCGGATATATATGGTGTATTATTCCTCTTCATTCCTACGCTCGCTAACGCAGGAGTCCAGTACTTCTATCTAATGATAAACCTCGGCTCGCTCATCGGTCAAATCGGAATGACCTACTCTGAAAAAGTGGGCGGACTTCCATCCTCCATGCGCTCCATTAACACCACAACAGTATGTCGGCTTCTGGCTCGCCTTTTCCCTACCGACCGTGGTATTCCTCCTCTGCCCCGCGATCCTCATCGCCGGCCGAAAGCGATACGCACGGACGCCGCGCCCTGAACAGTCTGTCCTCCTCACATTCGTTCATCTCATCCGCTTTGCCTGGCGAACTTCCGCCTCAAGCGGAGAAGAATTCTGGGAGGCAGCGAAACCAAGTCGAATCCCGCGCGATAAACGGCCGGACTGGATGTCTTTTGACGACGATTGGGTCGAGGAGGTGCGCCGCGGTGTCAGTGCGTGTCGCGTCTTCTTATGGTTTCCTCTGTACTGTGAGTATAGAATCGGTTAGCCCCTGAGGTACATACTAACGATGTTATTAGCCTTGACGGCCGGGCAGATGAACAGCAACCTCACTTCCCAAGCGGCGACGATGACAACGAACGGGCTGCCGAATGATATCCTATCCAATATCGACCCCCTTGCGTTGATTGTCTGTATCCCGATCTGCGATTTTCTGGTGCGTGAATCCAAGCCTGCCTCGTTGCGCAGCCCTCTCACTATCTCAGCTATATCCCGCTCTCCATCGCCGAGGGATTAGATTCACTCCATTGAAGCGGATAACGCTAGGCTTCTTGACTGGTTCGTTGTGTGAACTTGGAGGTCAAACATCGAACCTAAACAATCTCTATAGCTGCGACTGCGATGGCTTGGGCCGCCGCTTTACAATCTAGAATATACGCTGTATGTACCGTACCGTCTTCCGTTTCTTCCCATTGACACTAACAATCCAACAGACCAATCCGTGCGGATACACCGCCGCAACTTGCAAAGATTCAGACGACCACTCCCTTGTATCACCGATTAATGTCTGGACGCAGTCACCTGCGTGCGCCTTTCTTCTCTTCTCTACCCGCGTTTTAAACTCAACTCGGAGTGTTTTCAACAGGTACGCACTGATCGCGCTCTCAGAAATCCTCGCCTCCATCACCGGCCTAGAATACGCATTCACAAAGGCTCCGGCGAACATGCGCTCGCTCGTGATGTCGTTGTTCCTGGGAACCTACGCCTTCAGCGCGTTTCTCAGCGAGGCCTTGTTGTGTATGTCTGCGGCGTCTTCTCTCAGTTAACCGCTAACTGCCGCTCCTCTCAGGGCTCTCCGCAGATCCGCTGCTCGTATGGAACTACTCCGTGTTGGCGACGCTTGCGAGTGTCGGTGGGTGCACGTTGTGGTGGTGGGCTAGCGCGACGGGGCTCGACCGCGAGGACGATGAGGTTGGTGTCGGGAAGGATTTTACGGGCGATTCACATTCTGATGTTGGAGTTGCAGAGTAGTAGAAGGACTGTCGTGAGCATGTTTCCGGGAAGGATCCATTTCACCAAAAACCTTCAGAGGTCGAGGGCATCTGATCAAAAAGGTGCAAGATAGTTCCAGAATCGCCTCGGCCGGATTTGAACCAGCGATCTTCAGCTGAACTCTTGCATGGGATTGCTGATGTCGTACCACTAGACCACGAGACTAAGAAACGTGAGCAGATAAAAGGTCTGTTCCTGAGACAAGCAGTCTGCAAATCTTCCTCCAGGCGCGGGCCAATTAGTGTTGCCGCGAGTCCGAGTCAACTCGGCAACGAGTCGGCCAACTTGAATTCCATTGAAGGTCAAAACGGATAGCCCTGACGAGAATCGAACTCGTAATCTCCGCCTTTGACTTGTAGAACAAAAGTGCGTGGCGACGTCGTACCATTGGACCACTGGACTGGAATTTCGATGAGCACATAAGTACCGCCTTAAGGCTAGCGGAGACAACATGATCCCGGGATCTGACACGCACACGTGACTGAAACTCGCTCTTGAACGTCGTGGACCCTAGCGCGACTACACGAAACCGGGAAGTTCGAGCCCATGTAGTAAGATCGAAGACATACTACATGGATGCCCGTCTGCATTAGTCAAGTCCAACGGCGCTGCCACAAGCGCGTCTGGCCAGTTCGGATTGTGGCACGTCTCAGTCAAATGAGATCGCCGCAATGTTCGCGTGGACGGAAACTCTCTTCTCAACAGCCTGAGATCTTTCTTCCCTTCGCTCGACTTAGTCAGATTTTCTCCTTAGAAATGTTCCGCTCCAACCTCTTTTCATCGAGCGTACTCGAGTATTTATTTCTCACCGTCTGTGCTTTGTGCAGGCTCCGAGGCAAAGTGCATCTGGCGAGAGGCCTGATTGGAATTAGCAGTTCTGTCCAAGTAGCAAAAATGGACTTTGATGTTTACATTAAGCGGTACTCTGAATCCCCTCCTTGCACAATTTGACCCATGCGGGGCGAGACGTGATAGCATTCCACCATTTCGCAACGTTTGGGCGACTGTCGCTCGTCATGATGATATCTAGACTACTGAACACCGCCAAATGGAACAAGTCTACGATGGTTATTTCCTAGCGAGCGTTGAGTTGCGTCAAGAAGGAGTTCAGGCGCATACGTTTCCAGCGAGGTACTTCTGCTTTGATAGGATTTGCTCGTATCCATCCAGCGTCCCTCCGAGAGGAATGAGCACATCATCCCCTAGCAGCGTGGGACCAATTGGAAGACCGCTACGCCTGTGTCGTTTCAGTCCCCACTGGCAGCGGTCATTTGAAAGGCAGCACTCACATCCTCTTTCCATTCTCCATCCGGAGAATGTTCGCAATATTGGGAAAGTTGGTTGACTCGACGGCCGCAGCTTGTTCGAAGAGAGCACGCTCTTGGACGCTCGGTCCCGGGAGTAGTTTGGGTCCATTCTCGGGGTATTTCTCCACCAGATATCGACAAATCGCCCGGGTCTCATAGAGCACGAAGCCGTCGTCGTCCTGCATGATACATTAGCGGTTGTGCTTTGAAGTGAATTTATACAAGTTGGCGCCTCACAATGACCGGAATAAGTCCAAATGGGTGTCTTCCGAGATGCTCCGGGCTTTTTTGTTCTCCCTTGAGCAAGTTGAGCGGGATATTGTCGAAAGGGATCTGTTTCTCGACGAGAACGAGCGCGACGACGCCGCATCCGCCGCTTATTCCGAGCACAGGCGCAGAGTAGAGCTTCAAGACCATGGTCGGGTTCAGAGGCAGCCGGTATTCTACCTTGCGCTGGCGTTACTATTCCGCATACGCGTACAGTAGCATCGACAATTTGAGTTTAGCGACGCTGGCGGGTGAATCGGAGCTCTAAAGGAGGCACCCCGCTTGCTTCGTTGTGTTTCGTCGGAGCGGATCAGCTTGTATTCCCTCATCTGCTCGAGCTCCTACCGCACGGCGTAGAGAAGCGAAGCAGAAAATATCTCATGGCGGCGTGCCGAGTTTTGAGGCATGGGATCGCTTACCGGTCTTGGTGGGAGAGAAGCAGAGCTAAAAAGTCAGAGCCCAAACTGTGGATCCATAATCCCGATCAAGAGCTGGACGCACCTGCCTTTGGGCTCTCACGCCGTACCGCACCTACATATACACCATCGGCGCGAACCTGAAAAATTAAATCACTTCTCCGGAATTGGCTAACTGCCACCAAAAATTTGCTTTCGGAAGTCGAATTCGTGGAGAACCCGATACGGGTACATACTTGCTAAATGCTCCACTTTTCTTCCCGAACGACCTCATATTGAGGTATCGAGGGAGTAGTCCGTTCTTGTCAGTATGAATCGCGCAGCAAGTAGAAACGCACCATATTGCACGTTGAGTAGAACCTGACACCAAACAGCAGATCGTTTTTGGGTAAATGCCACTGGCACCGGACTCGGAGGCCGAAAAGCCCGAGTCCCTCTAAATTTCTGCTTCTGGAATCTGGATGACCGGTGAAAGTCTACTGGATGCGGGGATAGACATGAACGTTGCATGAACGCCGGTCCGGGAAGATTCAATGGAAGGATGTAAACCGAGGCTCTGCGGCGGTGTCTGCGAGGTTTCGCTGCTGGCACCGAGGAATTGGGTTTTGGAGCATACTACTAGTATATTGCACAGAGGCAGCTTGTGGAGCGCCAAGGACTGTGGGAGCGGTCAGAACTCGTACTGAATAGCCAACAGACCGTGCGCACGGCAGCGCTCAGCAGCAGTGGATCGTTTTGGCCATGGGTAACTCGGATTTCATCGTTCAAAGATGTCGGCCGGAACGGCGACATGGGCTGATTAAGTTGTGCGAGCTGGCTTGTGTGTGATTCCAAAGCAAAGAGGAGCGGAGCGTGGGGCAGACACTGGCAATGGCAGTGGCATTGTGCGCAGGAGTGTTCGACGGCGGGGTTTGTAAACGAGACAAGTGGCATTGAGGGAGACGATAAGTCACGATGATCATGATTGTGACGCACACTGCTGATCACTGGCTGCGTTGGACTCGGACCGCATTATGCTGGCAACGAGAACTCACTGTACCCCGGCGGCCCTACGGCCTCTACAACGACTGCTCTTGCCATTCCGAACTGATAGCTGATCATAGCTCACGTAGTCTGCCGTCTTCCTGGCAGCCTGCCAGTGGGTCCTCCCGGCGACGAAGCGCTCTGATCGTCCAGCCTGAGGCCTGACTAGCTCCGTCCCAGCGCTTTCTATTCCATTCACTTGGGACTCAGCAGTCTCGTCACTGCTCAAACCTTCAATGATCCGGGAAGCACGGCGTTTTTTCTTGTACCTCGTACACGTTTTATACACGAGGTGCTTCCCGAGGGCCGGTAAACGTCCGACATTACTTAACGCTTGCCTTCCTCCTCCCACCATCTCCTACCGCAACGACATCTATCATGGTCAAGAGCACCTTCTTCGTCGGCTGGACCCTCAAGAAATTCAATGCTACGGTAGTCAACGACATCTGGCTAGATGTCCTTTTCTTAACAATAATCTCAACTGGTGCGTTTCTGTGCTATTTTTGTGAAAACTGGGCTTGCTGCCAGTGGGTGCTCACGCTGTACACAGTTGTGACTTGTATCACGAAACTCACGACGCATAATCTATCGATAAATAACGTTCTCTTCGGAGTATTGGGGACGGTGCTTGGGCTGGTTATATCGTTCAGGACTTCGAGCTCGTACGAACGGCGCGTCTCAACTTTTGTGCCTACAATTCCGCGTTTCTGACCGAACTCATTGTGAAGGTATCAGGAGGGTCGGAAGATGTGGACGAACGTTGCCATCGCCTCGAGAAACATTGCACAGATTGTGAGACGTCTACGGGTTCCGGCGGCAGATAGGTTGATGATGAGGAGCAGATTTGGATTCACGTCCCCATGCAGCGACCAGAATCGGAGGGCAAGAAACTCACGCTGGTCGAGAGCGTCATCGAGAAGAAGACTATGCTTAACCTAGTGAGCCTCCTCCCTCTGTGTTGCGTTAAGGGCTTGGCCAATACAATTTTTACCTCAAGGTCCAAGCTTTCTCGGTCTCGGCCAAGGTGAAACGATAGTCTTTCCGTGAGGACCTGCCCAACCGGATGTATAGCACCTGTTGCGCGAGGAGCCTGGAGCGTACTACGATGACCTCTATCCGCTCATTTCATGCCTCCCTCGCTTCCTCGACATGCAAAAGCGAACACAAACCCCGGCAGATATCCTCCCATTGTGGGCCGCCTGTGACGATGAACGGTTTGCCCTCCTGGAGAGCGCTGAATGCAGGAGTCCGAGCTCTCATGAAAAGTACGAGTCATCGTTGGCCAAACACGGACGACATCCGCGCCGCACAAAGACATTCGATCCTGAAGCTGCTCTGGCCCATGTACCAGTTCACCGCCCGCTGGCGCCCGCCCGAAATGCACCAAAAATCGGCTTCTTCGATTGTTTTTCGTGCAGCTGCGGTGGCAAGCGTCAGAAATCAAAGCTTAAGGGTGTCCGTCCTCTGGAAGATAGCAACGTGCCGTTCGAGATAACCATTTATTTGTCCTCCTACCTTGCTTGTGAGTGGTCCTGTCATCAAGCTGAGACTCGAGCTCACCTTCTTCGACGTTGAATAAGATCTTTTACGCAACGCGTGGCTCCTCCCCGCACCCGCTGGCGGATTTTTTACCAACATTTCGATCCTCCAAGATACTTTGGCGAATCTTGAACGGATAGCATCCACTCCATTGCCATTTGCGTATCAAGCGCACCTCCGCATGTCTCTTTGGTGTGTTCCCGAGCACTTGTTCATCGTCCTTGCTGAGACAAGAAACAGGCTATACCTCCTCTTCCTTCCGTTCCAGGTCGTTGGTCTGCTAGGCTACATGACGATTCCGGGAACGGCTTTCGCGGCCTTCCTCTTCCTAGGCTTCCTCGAGATCGGTCAAGAGAGTGAGTCTATTCTCGTGTCCTCCCATGTCACATAACCGCTGGCAAATCGCACAGTTGAGAATCCTTTCAATTACGATCTGAACGACCTCGATCTTGACAGCTTCTGCCTCGCCATCCAGCGCGAGCTGCACGAGATCGCTGCGCATACCGCACCAGATCCGACCGAATACGTGTTCTCTGCGTGGAACCAGCCATTTGCGCCGACGGATAGACGGAGCGGCGATGCTCTGGTGGCGAATGCCGCGGAATATGTGTCTCAATCGGAAGCTGACGCGGGTTGCGAGCCTGGGTTGAGGAGCATGCAGAGGATGCTGGTTAGGAATTGGCGGGATGTGGATAAGATGACGAGGGCGTGAGCTGCGGGGTACACATGCCCATGTAAATATCTCCCGAAACTTTATATCTCTGTTGAATCAGCTTAGTCGGTGCAAGAGTATGATTACGCGATTGCCGTTCGATTATTTCCAGCTGAAGCGCGATGAGAGCAGCAGGAC